TGGTTGAATTGCCCTTTACTGATTTTTTTCTCTATTTTTCTCTAACGTAAAAAATTTCTATTGTAAAATTTTTAATGTATATTTCTCCATAGTCACGGTAAATATTGAATACCTAATAAAAATAACAGTAACATTTTGTCTTAAGTTTCCAGGAATAGAGTTTTCAATGGATGCGGAATGCCACAAAGTAGTCAGGTTTCAATTTAATAATCATTTGCATTTAACCAAGAATATTGAAGAAATTAAATCGAGTTAGCATTTGCTGTTCCGATAGATTTCTATGAGACTCATTGCATAGAGTATGTAATCCAACAAGGGTAAGTGTAAAAAATTCAAAAACGCTCGCTAAAGAATATTTCCTTAAAAAATATTTACACTAAATTTTTTGAAGATAACTTCAAAATAAATAGATAGCAGCAAACCTTAAAACTGAAATGAATAAAATATAGTGAATGTCTAAGGGGTCACATTATCGATATCCAAAAGCCAACAACAGCAAACGCATCTTTGATAGATAGCTCTCGACATTTTCCTCTTTCTTCTACAGCCTTAATAGCTTCCGATTAAACTGTCTTATAATTCGAATAGAAACTATTATTCTGATGCGCAGATGCCTACCTTTCAAGAATATGCCATTATAAGAAAAAAATACTGGAGCATGGAAAAAATTGTCAACCGAGAAGTCCAGAAATATCATAATTTACTGATTTGGTCACTAAATAAATGAGCTATGATAGAACTGCAAAATAAATGTAGTTTTGGAAAGTAAAAATTTGAAAACACTAAATGAACATTGAGATGAATAAAATGGGTATGAAGAATTAGTCTGTAATAGTAATGACATTTCAAGTCATAAGTTAGTATGCAATTCTGAATCCTTATAATGTAAGCCGCGGTGGCTCAGAGGATAGAGTTCAACCCCCCCCCCCCAATGAGGGCATACGGGTTCGAATAATAGCGGAGCCTGATTGATACGAATTCTGTACCCGCGTTGCACCGATCACAGTGTAAAAAAAATCCTCAATGGTAGACATATCATCGGGTTGAATCCCCTTGCCATCAGGCTTACCATAGAAGGTTTTCGTGGATTTTTTTCTCCATGTCATGCAAATGCTGGATAGCTCCATCAAAAAGTTTTACACAAAGGCTAGTTTGCCCCAATGATTGGTCCAATACCTCTTTTGTCTTCTGGGTAGGATTCAAAATTACAAGACTACAGAGTTGAACACTGATAGTCATAAACTCAGAATTGGGTCTGCTGTTCCACTCAGGTTATTAAATAAAATAAAATTCTTATAATGTGCTCTACCTCCCCTCCCTACAATTTAATAAGAGTCAGTGCGGAGAATGCAAATGTGCTGTTAGGAAATGTGTCTTTAAAAAAATATTCACACAACTTTTCAAAGGAAACTTCAAAATAAGTAGATGGCAACAAAGCTCAAAAAGAAAATGAATAAATTATACTGAATGTTCTCCTGTTTGTCCTTTATGTGGACAAGGTCAAATTTTTGGTGCTACTCATCTTGACTCGTGTTCTGCACTTGTGTTTTTAAATTGTAATGTACAGAGATATTGGGAGGCTGGAAAACTAATAGCGTCATGGCCAATCTTCTGGGCATTTGTAATAAATAAATAAATTCTGAATGTTAACGAAGTGTTATTATCGATATCCAAAACCAACAACAGCTAACGTATCTTCGATAGATAGCTGTCGACACTTCTTCTTTCGTCTCCAGCTAAATGGCTGCCGATGAAACTGTCTCTCATAAGTCAAGGATACATCATTATTCTGATGCGGAATTGCCTATCTTTCATGAATATGTCATTATTAGAGAAAGATTCGTGCATCAGGGACCAGAGCATAGCAAAATTGTCACCGAAATAGACTATGAAATAACCATTTTATCACAGTTTATTGATTTGGCAACCAAATTGTCAAGCTTTTCAAGTCGGTCACTAAATGAACTATGGTAAAACAGCTAAATGAACTGTCAAAAATTGTCAACTGAACAGGCCCAGAAATAACTATTTTATCGTAATTGACTGATTGTGTCAACCCAATTGGCGAGCTTTGCAAATCAGTCAAATAAATGAACTTTGAACTTAATAAATAAACTAAGTAAATGAACTTTGATAAAACAACTAAATAAATTTTTGAAAATTATGCTCAAGTGAGTCCAGAGATAACTATTTTATCATAAGTTACAGATTTGACAACAGTAGGCGGCGAGTTTCGCAAGTCAATCTCTAAATAAATATACTATGATAAAACAGCTAAATAAATTGTCAAAAATAGTGACCCCAATAGGCCCAGAAATAACTATTCGATCTTAATTTACTGATTTTGTCAACCAAATTGGCGAGTTTTACATGTCAGCCACTAAAAAAATGAGCTATGATAAAACAGCCAAATGAATGTAGTTTTTGGAGAAAACGACTCGAAAACACTAAATTAGCCAGAACCTTAAGAAGAAAATGAATAAATTATACTGAATGTCAAAGAGGCCTCATTATCGATATCCAAAAACCAACAACAGCGAACGTATCTTTGATAGATAGCTGTCGACATTTCTTCTTTCTTCTCCAGCCTAATAGCTTCCGATGAATCTGTCTCATAACTCAAGGATAAATCATTATTCTGATGCGGAGATGCCTATCTTTCATGAATATGCCATTATTAGAGAAAGATTCGTGCACCAGAGACAGAAGCATAGAAAAAAAATTGTCACCCGAATCCTCATTGTCAAGGTTTGGAATTTATTTATTTTTTTATATCTCACACCGGACATTTATGCACTGGGCATGGAAATAAGGCCGGTTGAATAGAATTACCTGTGGAATACTAAGAGATTCGGAGTTAAGGGATTGAAAGTCGCGTTTTCAGCTTCGATGGAATTGGATTTCAAACGATCCGAGACGATTATTCAAATCTTTTTCAAATGGTCGCATTTGTAATTGCGTAATGGTGGGGTGTGAATCTGGGTGGAGTTAAAGTTTTGCGGATTACATCTTTTTGATTATCAAGAAGCCGAGATCAAATGAGATCATTTGTCATGAAAATATTATCATAATTAATCAAAATTCGAATTATACTACTCTTACTTTTACCTAAAGAGTATATGATATAGAATGATTAGTCACCAAGGAAAATAATAAATTTAAAGTAGATTTTCTTTTTCTTAGGAGGGGGACACAGGCATCCTCTTTAATCCTTTGACGTATATAAGACACCAGTGTCCTTTTTATGTATTTTTTTCTGGCGTTCTTATTACAAGTAAAAATATATTTTGGAATTTTTTAACTATAAAAAAAGTCTCATAGTTACTGGAAAAAAAACTGTTGAATTATCGGAATAATATTTGGAAATAAAATATAAAATTCAAAAAAAGTAGTTTGGCAGTTTTTTTCCCATTCATATTCAACAATTTAACAACAGTTATTATTATAAAGAAAATTTAAAAGATAATAAATTCTCTTAGATCTAAATAACTTCAAATAATTCCAAATTATTGTTTGAAAGATTTTACTTTTTACGCAGAAAAATATACAGATGTTTCTGTCATGCTGGATTCCATAACCATAAATTATTAAATTGCTGAATGTAATATTTTTCATTTATTTTGACCTAAATTAACACAAAGTAATGGAAAAGTATGCAAAATATGTTTAATAAAAATTCTGTGTCAAAGGGTGAACGAGAAATAATTTATTTTTATTTTCGGGAGTGGTATTAAAATTTTATGGCTCATCTTTTTATTTAGTTCATTGGTAACAGTAAATTTTTAATTTTACTTGACATGCACACTTATTTTCTGTCTGTGTTTGGGGGATCTGGGGATCTTGTTATTCAAAAGAGATCTCAAACTAATTTTTTGTACATTAACTACACATTTTTTTCAACTGCATAATTTTTTTTAAATGATGTGCTTTGAAATTATAAATGAAAATTTTAGGTTTAGGATATGAGGAGGCATTAGACATTAGTCCTTCACATTACGAAAGCTTTCTCCATAGGTTTCTTCAGCATATGCTTTGAAACTGAACATAAAAATTCTAGATTATAAGCTGACATCTTACCTTCAAAATTAAGGAAAATAAAGAAAGAAAAAAAGATATAAATAACTCTATAATTTTTTTTTATTATATGCTTTCAAATTACAAGCAATAATTTTAAATTGTAAAGATGTATCGCATCTTTACATTGGAAAAAAAAAAAGTTTCTTCGTGTATTTTTCAGTTGATACTTTAAAATTTACAAGCATTTTAGCTTATAAAGCGATGACAGGCCTTCGTATTATCAAACAAATTTCTAACGTAATCGTTTTCTTTTGTTATTGTAAAGTACATCGTATTTGCTCCCACCCTCCATCTATAACACCTCCACCTATATGACCACCCTCCATCTATAACAATAGGCTCGCCCAGGTTTTCATGGTATCTCGCCCAGGAACAATGTTTTCATGGGGCACTTTAGGACCCATTATCCTCATAGAACAATCCCTGACGTCTGTAAACTACTTGAACATAGTTGCAGACCAGGTTCACCCATTCATGGCAACAGTTTTTCCTGCGGGGGATGGTGTTTACCAACAGGATAATGCACCATGTCATAGGGGTCGAATCGTCGAGGAACATTCCAGTGACTTTCAAGTTATGTCTTGACCCCCAAATTCACCTGACCTTAATCCGATAGAGCATTTGTGGTCCAACTTGGAAAACCAAATTCGCGCTACCACACTACCCCCGCGCTATGTGAGGGAATTGCAGGACCAGTTGGTGAGCGCTTGGCACCAGATACCTCAGACTACCTATCAGCACCTTGTGGAATCAATGCCACGGCGGGTGCTAGCAGTTTTGAGGGCTAAAGGTGGTCCTACATGTTATTAGCAGGGTGCTCATAATGTAATGGCTCTTCGGTGTATATAGATAGATAGATAGATAGATATAAAATAGCTGCTCACTATTCATGCTTAAATTAATATAGGCAACAATTTACTTACCATTGTTTTGTAATATGTTATTATCAGTCCATCAGTCGAACGTTAGATTTCCTTATTACTGTATATCTATGCATCTGAAAAAAAGAAACGATATTACATAAAATGCAAATGCTTTTTTTAACTTAAGTTTTATGAAAAGAATAGCACAAATAGTTAGAATTTAAGATATAAATTTATAAAAATCGTGAAATAAGCAAATATTTGTTTATACTAAGTAGACATTTTTTTCCTATTACCTATCATTCCAGCTTTAAAAAAGCCCTGTTATTTCAGCTTAGATCCAAATATAAATGTTTGTATCAGTAATACAAAGTAACGCATTTTAATATATTGGGGTATATATATGCAACTATGCTGTATCTTCAAATCAATGCTAATAATGATACAAATAAAAAAAAAAGATGGAATTCTTCTTTTAAAGAAAGCGATTTAAAAATAGATTACTTATAAAATTTTATGAAAATGTTTAAAGAATATATATAATGTACCCAAAGTACATATAAAGTGGCTGTATTCTATTTCTTTCTTCTTCTCTATTTTCTAAAAAAAGCAGTTGATGTTGTACAAAATAACCTGTTTACAATGAGAAAAAACTCCGGACAAAATTACGTTATGAGGCATCTTCAGTAAAATTCATTTTCAACATAAAATATTATGTCGTCAGTGATCCAGTAATTTTACGTTAATTATAACTTGATTAATTACAGTATATCTGATTTTTTGTTCCGGAGCTTGATCGGGTAAAAATGGATTTGACGGTAAAAAGTACCGACAGCTGGAGTGCCAGAACTTTTTACCTTAATTTCTACCTGAATTTACGAACACAACAATCAGAATAATACAATGCTAAGTTTTAAATTTATTTTTACTAATATATAATCGATATATTGGAGACGCGTTATTTTTACTTAAACAGCACGTTTACATAACTTATATCAAGGATTATATATTAAATATTATCAAGCAGTTCGGTTTCTGATGTTACTCATTTAAAATTTATATTCACTAAACATATTAAAGAGATTTATTTTAAAATGTATATCTTTTTAAAGCTTTCTAATAAAGCACTGTATGAAAATTTGAATTTCTAAATTGAATTGATTTGAATTGCATTGAATTAATTTGAATTAATAAAGTATATGTAAAATTTCATCAACGAATTCCTTTAAACTAACAGTAGCAAAATCACACCAAGCAGCTATTTACTCCCTAACATTTAAAACGGAATGACATTCCATTTTAATTCCATGTTGCGTTTTGCAAAGGAATTTCAATCCATAAATGATGAGCTCAACCAACAGACTTAACGTCATTGATTAAAATAACGCTTATTAAAGTTCGATACAATCTCTTAATTGCCAGCTTCTCCTTTCTTTAAAGCCATTCATTAATAAACGATAATGGTTTTAGCTTCCTTCCCAAAAGAATTGTCTTTTCCAGTTTGGCAACTTGGCAAACAGACGACAATTTTAAAGACAAATTGTCGCTGACAAGACTAGTTTTCTAATTGAATAATCAACAAGTTGCCATTTGAATCTAGAAGCCACCCTAAACCAGCGTCTTCGAATTGTTGAAATCTTTAAATTGGCCATTTTGTTAAAGGAGTCCATTTTGTACACAGGATTTCAAAGGAAATGGTCCATTAGAATTGGTAGAGGTTTATTCTTTGTTTGATTGTTTTCATTCATTAAGTTCTGCAATAAATAAGTATTCAAACGCTTGACTTCGTAGTTATTTTATGGTATTGAAAACCGTAACACTACGACGTTAATAATCTTCTTACAGTTAAGTATGTACGCAAAACAATATATATATATATATATATATATATTTTCCACTTGCCATTGCTCACCTGGCCTCGGAATTGTTCGCGCAGTTATCAGATCGCTTCACTCGTTCATTTCACGTGTCGTCCAACCCACAGGACGAATCACTGATTAAGCAAGCAGTGTAAAATTAAATTATAGTGGATTGATATTCGTTCGAAGAAACATAACTTTATTATTTTAAAAATTAATAGGAAATTTAAACTATGACATATGGTTGGTTCATCTTGAGTTCTATGACATATGGTTGGTTCTATGACATATGGTTGGTTCATCTTGAAACATAAGGGTACGCGGATGCCAAAATATCTCAATTCCACTGCTAAAAGTTTTAAAAAGTTTCAATCCTTAAGGCAGAACACCACTGCGATTTTCTTTTACAAAATCTATTTAAAGAGAATTTATGAATTTTTATAATTTAATGAAACATATATTTACTGTCAAACTCGTTTATTGTGCATCAAAATTTTATAGGGCTTAACGAAGTAGGGTTGCCACAGAAAAAATGAACAAAATAGTTGCTTTTAGTAGCCTAAAACATGAAAATAGTAACCAAAAACTAGGAAAATAGTTGCCTAAATAAGAACAAAAATTCATCAAAAATATGACTAAAATTTTGTTAATGACTTAATTGTCATATACCATGATCCATTCAGCCAAGTAGGTGGCAAATATGATAATTTTTATATAAGCGTATATGTTTATATACAGGTTGATTCTAAAAAGATGGGCAAAATTTTAGGAAGTGATAGTACACACCCAAGCAAACAATTTTTATCAAAGAGTGCATGGTCGAAAACAAAACGCAAAACCGCTAGAGGGAGTCAAAGTTTATATTCCTATATGAGGCAAAAACACTCAAGGAACGATGAAGTTAAGTTATAAAAGCAAATTTAATGGCATGTGATTANTATATTAATTAAAATATAATATCACACTTCTTAAACGTGATTACACTGTTCATTTAAACACCTTCATGAGTTCGCTGAAAATTTGCATCCCATTATTATGGTTCTAGCTATTATGGTTTCACATGATTCCACGATATTATAGTTTCACTCTTAACAGATTTCTCTGAAACTATATTGATGATGTAAACATTGATTCAAGATTGATATTCATGGCATTGATATTCAAGATTGATGTAAACATTGTTTTTTTCTTCATTTCATTCTTTTATATGATTTATAAATGTATTTTTCTTTATTATTTATCTTATAAAATAAACATAACTTAAAATGTATCACTGCGAAAAATAATACGAAAATTGCATTAAAAAAATAGATTTTTTTTATGAAAAAATTAAGTAGTTCAACAACAGTTAAGGATTAATAAAGTAATTAAAAGGAAATTAAGATGTAATTTGATTAATCCAGAGGTCAACGCTAATTGAGATCAGAAAGCTAACCTAAGTGGTGTTGGTTTTCAGTGATGGCTTATGGATAAAGATGTAAATTTCATCTCGTGAGCTATGCTGCTCAGTGAAGCCCGCCTCTTGCATTTCTTCGCTATTGTGAAAAATTTGAATTCATGAACGTATTAGAAAATTTTTAACATGTTTTAATTCGATTACTTATTTGATGTTTAAAAAAATTATAATAAAATCATTTAGTTACGCATTTGAAAATAGACAGTTTTAAGATTCAATTAAAAAAATAAAATAAAATATACTGTTAATATTATTAGACCATACGTTTCAATATTTTATTGAACTGTGCCAAAGAGGGAAAAACAGTACCAAATTTGGTTGAGCAACTTTTCAATATAATTATGAATCGAAGTATTCGATTTATTCTAAATTCCTTACACAATTATAGTATAACGTATTCGAGTGAAATTTAAAATTTAGTTTATATAAATATTATTATTAAAAATCTTCTTAAATACTTAGTTTTGCTTCGTGATTTTAACATTAAATGATATAGTTATATTAAGAAAACATCGTTATGATTTCATTTTACTCGCGGTAAATACTGTTTATACACTCTATAACAAAAATAATCGACGCACCAAGAAGCAATCATCCGACTGCTTTGAAATTTCGTATGCATGAATGTTTTGAACAGATCAGGCTGGAATGATGCCGACTGGGGACGTATAGTCTTTAGCGACGAATCCCGCTTCCAACTGTGTCCTGACGATCATCGAAGACGTGTTTGGAGACGCACAGGGTAGAGGGGGGATCCTGCCTTCACTATTGCACGCCACACCGGCCCTTAACAAGACATTATGGTCTGGGGTACCATTTCCTTTGACAGCCGGACCCCTTTGTTCGTCATTAGAGGTACACTTACTGCACAGCGGTACGTCGACGACATCCGAAGACCTGTTTTGCTACCATTCCTTTTGCAGCTTCCTGGGCTGGTTTTTCAGCAGGACAATGCCAGACCACATACGGCACGTGTTGCTATGAACTGTCTGCAAGCTTGTCAAACTCTTCCTTGGCCTGCCAGATCACCAGATCTCTCTCCCATCGAGCATGTCTGGGATATGATGGGAAGGCGATTGCATCTGGCACGGAATGTTGATGACTTCGTTCGACAATTGAATCGAATTTGGCAGGAAATACCGCAAGAGACCATCCGGGAGCTTTATCGGTCTATGCCAAGCCGTGTGGCAGGTTGTATCCAGACTAGAGGCCGGTCAACACGCTATTGAACTTGTTATTGTAACTCTGCAATAAATTATTAAATTGTTCTGAAATTTCAATCATTTACTATTCTGTACATTGTCTTCTTATCCACCAATTTTCGTTTCAATCGGACAACTCCTTCTTGGTGCTTCGATTTTTTTTGTTATAGAGTATAGTTAAGATTTTGTTTCAAAAAGTGATACATAGTAATGATTTTACATTGAAAAACGGCAAATATGTACATAGGTAAGGTTTTATATTCAAAATTGATGCAAATTTTTCATTTTACTTTAAAGAAAGTCTTGAAATTCTTTTTATGCTGATGATTCATAAATGATTCTAATTATATTCGGTTATATAATTAATATCTATGTATATTCAAGATTAATGCATAGTTTTGATTTGATATTAAGGAAAGCATTACAATTCTTCCCCGGTGATTCATAATGATCATTTCGCCGATGATTCATGAATGATTTTAATTATATTCGAATATATAATATCAATTATATAATATCAATATTTATTGATACATAGTTATGATTTCATTCTAAAGAACGGGAATGAAGTTCGTAGTCGAGGTTTTGTATTCGATAAATGATACTCAAAATAGTAAAT